AATCCATAGTAATTCTCTAGCATTCCCAGAATTTCTCTTTTATTATGCTATAATTTCTCTGGGAAGTCTAGAGAAATTAGAATTTTTCTAGATCAAATTTTCTCTCGATCGATATTGAGGAACTTTAGACATTATGAAAATATTAGATGTCCTTTATGCTATAAAATCTTAATATCAGGGACCCTAAAAAAAATTCCCTTATATAAATCATTCATGAAAAAATAAAATTTATTTAATAATTATAATCATATAATTTTCACATGTCTATTTTTAAAAATAAAATCAATAAAATTATATAATTACGATTATTAATTTAATTTATTTTAATTTTTCTTTTATCGATCTATATACAAAAAAGAATTCTATCATGCAAACCTCATATTATATACACTTTTAATTATGCTGTTTTCTTTTTTTAATTATAATTAATTTTCTTCTTTAGTTATGACATTATTTTAAAATTTTAGTTATAATTTTTTTATGTTTGATAATAAATTTTTATTTTTTTAATTATAACTTAAAAAAGTATAAAATTATATATATATTTTTAATTATAAAGTGCATATTTCCATAGAGTAATGCTACGTAGCTCGAAACCAGTCCCCCCCGAATCCCCCTAAAGGCAAAAACGATGTCGTTTTTGCCTTTTTTTTTTTTGGGTTGAATCAGAAACGAAGAAGATGAAGAAGAAGGAATGAAGGAAGAAGAAGAAGAGGAATGAGAGAAGGAAGGAGAAGCACTAGACTGGAGGGGCCATCAATCAGGGGCGGAGGCGCGGCGGAGAGCTGCTGGGACGAGCTGCGATCGGCCGACGCTCGGCCGAGCTACAACGGAGAGCTGCAATCGGCCGAGCTGCTGCGACGGCGGAGCTTCTCTCCTCTCCTCTCTCTTTCTCCCTCTCTCTCTCTCTTGCCTTCCCCCTCTTTTCCTCCTCTTTTCCCTCTGTTTCCCTCTGTTTCCATTTTCGGGGGATTCGGGGGGAGGGAATTCGAGCTCCCAAGCTTTATCCATTTCCATACACAAATAGATTGATTAAACAATAATATTTGAGAATTCTAATTGGAGAACTCTAATGTAACTCTAATGATGTGAAGAGTACTTATGTGAAAGTGAGACCTACACTCCTTTCTCTATCTCTCTCTGGCCCTATTTGTTTTGGGAGATAGAGGTGAAATTGGGATTGAGATGGAGGTGAGACCTATTATATGTTGTGTTTGTTTTGGAAGATAAAAAGTGGATTCATAATCTCATGAGATTAAGACGAGCCTTGGTGTTGGAATTGAGATAGAAGAGGTAGATATTTTATTAGGAAATTAGTTCCATAGGATTATGTTTTTTTATTTTTTAATTTACATGTTGGCCATTTTTTTAACATTAATATTTAATATTTTTATATTTTTTTATTAAGTAAAATTATAATTTTAATTATTTTAATATTTTATATTTCTTTTATAAGATAATAATTTAATAATTCCTATTAAAACAAATATAATTTTACTTAATTTCACTTATTATTAATCTCCCTCCACTCCACCTATGAAAACAAACAAACTATCCCACTCTTTTTTTCTCTTCCGTCTCACTAAAACTTCGTTTACAACTTTCAAATTATATGTCATTAAATCTCATCAGTCAGATATGATTGGTCCTCCCTACCAACCACTAAAACCATTACACGTGTGTAGAAGTAGATCAGGCCACAGGTACGAGTACTCACATCCAAGACCCTACCGTTATTTTAACGGACGGAAATTAAAAAGGCAGTTCAAATAAAGTTTCCCCACAGATGAGAAAAAGCTTGGGAATTGGGATCCGTGAAAAAGCATAAAATGGTGGTGGTGCCCTCGGCGGTGTTACTGGTACTGGTGGCGGCGGCGGCGGCGGCGGAGACGACGGAGTGGCTGTGGCGCTAGTGTCTACGGCGGCAATTCTCAGAGGCATGTGCGTCGCACTACTACTTTTTGTTTTCTGAATAAACAAAAGAAGAGAGAGAGAGAGATGGTCGGCACTTCTCTAGGTTTTGCCGGCTTTTTTGGTTTCTCCGATTCATTGTACTGTTTGAAAAAAACAAAGACAAAAAAAGATTCTTTTATTCCCGAATTTGATTTGAATTCTTCCAGGTGCTTCGGCTACTTCGCCAGGAGCTTGAATCTTCTCGCATTTTGATACGAGACGAGATTTGTTGCTTTGTTTTGGTCTGTTCTTTGGAGACACTGCAACGTGCGTACTGGGTTTTGTTTTCTTTGTTGCAAAATTGGATCTTTAACCCTTCAAGATTTTGGGCAAATTTTCTTGACGATTCGTCTCGCATCACAAACGGTACATGAATCTCTCTCTATTTTTCAGTCATTCTTCGTGTCTTTTTCGTTTCAATTGCGTTTGGTTGTTGAGAAATCTGAGGAAAAGAAAGGAAAATATTTTTTGATCTTTTTTGTATTATGTTGTCTTAATTTACAAGAATGGAATTGATTTCACTGTTTTCATTGCTCAAATTGTTGATTCTATCAAATTTTCAGTAGTAATTGAGCAGGACAACGTAGATTGAGTGATACTTTCCTCGTCACTTCGCTCTCTGAAACATCATCAAAATTCTTAAGAGAGCAAGGCTTGATCTGTCAGGTAAGAGCAGATAAGAACTACCATTGTGTTCAGATTTCTTTACAATGAGATCTGCCAAACCCATGTGCAATGTGTGTTGATTCAATTCAAATTGGTTTTTATCACATTTTTAGAAGAAGTAGATTGTGGGAAAGAACGATTTGTTCCATGATAATGCCATTTAAATGCATAACTCGAGAGCTTAGAGAAATGGGAGATGGTTTTAAAATTAAGTTGAGGAGGCGAGCCGATAGGAAGTGTGTGCATGGCTGTGGAAGATCTCATATAGCCCCCGAAAGTTCTCCATCTCCATCTCCATCTCCATCTCCATCCCCATCCCCATCTGCATTAGCTCATCGGAGCTGTTGGGCAAATTTGCCCCGGGAGTTGCTTCTTGACATTATTCACCGGATAGAAGTTAGCCAGACCTTGTGGCCTCTGCGGAGGGATGTGGTTGCCTGTGCTGCAGTTTGCAGATCGTGGAGGGAGACAACAAAAGAGGTCGTGAGAACTCCAGAGCAATGCGGGTTGCTCACTTTCCCCATCTCACTGAAACAGGTTGATCCTCAACGCTTACTTTCCCCTCCCCAACCCCCATGCTTTGTGTTTTTTGTTACTGAATTTCTTTTTTTTGGTACTTAAATTGTTTAAAAAACTATCAGCCAGGACCAAGAGATTCTCTGATCCAATGCTTTATAAAAAGGGAAAGGGCAACATCAATATATCGTTTATATCTTGGCTTGAGTCCTGGTAAATAACGCTATGCTTTCTCTTGGATGTCAATGATATGAAATGTGCACATAAAATTTTGCATAATCTTTATAGTTAATCCTTTGTTGTGTTTGTTATCCTTTTGGTTTATCTTTTGATCTTTCTATATTATATTGTTAGAGGAGCGTTGTTGCTTCATGTTCAATCAATTTATACTGTAGTTGTGAGATTTCTGCTCTCATGTTCAAATCCACTGCAAGATTTAAAATTTTGGGATAATTACTCTTATGATCATATCTCTCAAAACTTTAGATCTTTAAAAGGCTTACTTAAACTATCTCCAATTGATGAATCATATACGACGATTTTGAATTAATTACAGCATTGTCGGGGGATGCTAGTAAACTGTTGTTGGCAGCTAGAAAGGTTAGAAGGGTAACAAACACAGATATTCTAATATCCTTGGCAGCAGATGATTTCTCTCAAGCTAGCGATACGTATATTGGGAAATTGAGGTTGCTTCTAAATTCCAATTCCTTTATCTTTGTATCATTTGATTATTTTTTCATGTAACTCTAACTACTGGTCAATTTTTTGAGCAGGTCAAATTTTCTGGGTACTAAGTTGATTATTTATGACTCCCAGCCTCCATGTGACCATGCAATCCAATCCAATGGATGGTCACATCGAAAAGTCTATTCAAAGCAGCAGTTATCTTGTAGGGGACCGGCTGGCAACTACAAAGTGGCTACCATTTCTTACGAACTTAATGTTCTTCGTACAAGAGGGCCGAGGAGAATGATGTGCACCATGCACTCTATCCCCATCTCTGCAATTCAGGAAGGTGGCACTGCCCCAACTCCATCAACATTTGGAACTTGTTTTGATGAGCCGTTCTCTCCTTCATTGGTTTCAAAAGGGAAAAACCTTGTTAAGTTTGGCTTCGGTAGTCCTGCTGAGCCATTTGAATCAGTCCATGACACGAGAGATCCACTGATTTTGAAAAACAAAGCTCCTAGATGGCACGAGCAGTTGCAGTGTTGGTGCCTTAATTTCAAAGGACGTGTCACAGTGGCCTCTGTCAAGAACTTTCTTTCAACTGGTGGCAGCTATTGAGCCATGCCAAAATGTTCCAGCCGCTGAACAAGAGAAAGTAATGCTACAGTTTGGAAAGATAGGAAAAGACATTTTTACCATGGATTATCGCTACCCCCTCTCTGCCTTCCAGGCCTTCGCAATCTGTTTAAGTAGCTTTGACACCAAACCAGCATGTGAATAACCATATTCAATTCCTTTGGTGGGCCTCTCTCATGCTTTGATTTCGTAGAAGATGGTTGTGTATATATTTTCTTCAAAGGAAGGTCCTCAAACATCAGTACCTTTTTAAGTGTGGCATTAGTTTATGTAATGGCAATGAGCCATGTAATGTATTTTAATTTGCAAAATCTGTTTAATCTGCAGAATTGTAGTTCTGCAACAGTTCTCTGGCGGGTTACTGCCTCACCTCTGGAATTTTTTTTGTGTAGTTTAGTAGGAATTCAGATAGTCTTTTAGCTGCAAAAGGATCTCGTACAAGTTGTATATTTGAATCCTTGTGTACTGAAATATTTATATTTCAATGCAAATTGTTTTACAGAATACATCTTCTTTAACAAATGCCAAAGCGATGTGCAACAGCCGGATAGTATGGATTTACTGTAAACATTATTCTTGTTGTGTACACAAATATTTGATATTTGCTGGAGAAAGAGCCATGAATTATTGCAAAGAAATTGATTACAGAACATCTGTCTCGTTATCTCTTCTTCTCTTGCAGCCATAGCGACAACCGTGACGTCGAGGCTTCTCAGGGTTATCTGGATCCGAATCACTTGATTCCATGAAAAGCCCTCTCAAGCATCTTCTTCTGATTGTGGGCTTGTAAGTAAGCTTCTGTGCAGATGTAACATTGAATTCAGCCTTGTGCGTCTCAAGGGACCCCATTCTTCTAGTTGGCTTGACAGGTTCTGTTAGCTTGTGAGAATGAACCATCTGCACACCAGGATTCCTTTCAGTAATGGAACCGTTAAGCATAATAGAGTTGTTGATGGCTTGTACATTGCTGTTTATATATGTTTTTGATGCCTGATCTTCTTCAGTTTTTGAATCTTTCGACTGTCTTCCCTTGGAGCTTCCCTCTCCATCAGTGGTAGCTTCATTGCTCTCATCGGGGTTGATCTTGTACGCCCTGTGGATGTGGATTGCCCCATCTTTTTTCGCTGATTCTGAACCAAGTTGCATGGATGCTCCTCTGTTTTCACCAGCCAGTGTTATAACAGTAACTGGTTTCTCATCTATCAGATGCTTTGGCTGTTGATTAGCCATCTTATTAACAAACTTAGAAATATCGTCCCTAATCTCTTTGTGTAGGGGGGTTTGTTCCCCTTTGGGTATGGTGGGCTTATGGCGAGAGTCAGTCACCGTGTTTTTGTCCTTTAGGTTTGAAATCACAATTTTGGTTTGTTTTTGGTTAGAGTTGGAGGTGGCTAATGTCTCCTTTCTACTGATAATCTCATCCTTCACTTTTTCTTGCTCTGCTTCAAATGCAACACTTGGCTGCATTTTGGTTGGTTCTTTTGAGCCTGGTGCTTCTGTGAGCTCAGTCACAGTCCTCTCCTTTGGTTCCTCATTGACACCATTGATCTTCTGTTTGTTTCCGAGTTCTTGCACCATTTCCTTCCCTTCTATAGTTTCTTCCGGAATTCCATCTGATTTTTGAAGGGGCTTAGGTTCTGCACCAACAAGAGAAGAATCTGATTTTTGAGTTGGGACAGGTGTCTCCACAGCTGTTGTAGAAGTTATTTGACTCGGTGTTTTGTCCTGGGTGTTGAAAACATTCTCAGATGTCCTTTCTGCCTTCAGTTGCGGCTTTTGTGACTCTGGCTGAGACCTTGCTGGCTTTGGTTCTTCTTGAGAGATAGGCAGAGGGAGCTCAGTGGAAACTGGAGGCAGCTCAGGCCCCTCTTTGGTCGTGGGTTGTAATTGTGCTTGAGTGGCTGTGAGAGATGGAGAAGAAGGCAGTGCGGATGTTTGGGCTGCAGGCTGAGAGGCCAATTTGGGTGGGGATTGAGGCTGTGGGGCTGCTTGTGAAGCTGGTTGAGTCTCCAATGCTTTGGGAGATGCGGACGAGGGCTGAGGGGCATCCTTGGTTTGAGGGGTTACACGAGATGGTGATGGAGGTTGAGTGGCAGCTTTGGATTGTGCTGCTGCACGGGATGGCGAGGGGAGTTGAGAGGCAGCTCGGGACTGTGTCATTGCACGAGATGATGATGCTGTTTGAGAAGTGACTCTGGTTCTAGCGGTTGCACGTGATGGTGAAGACGGCTGAGATTCGGTTCTTGGTGATGCTTGAGCTTGTGGAGGGACTGGGGCCTGGGCTGAGCCTGGAGGTCTAAAAGGTGGCCTCTGAGCACGAGTCATGGTGGGTTGTATAGGGGTTTGGCTTTCAGCAGTGGGGGCATCTTGTGGTGGGCGAGGAGCTGGTGGTGCTTGTAGCCAAGGGAGCTGGAAGCGGAGACCCTGCCTTCGTTCTGTCATAGAGAATAGAGAAAGGTCAACTGTTGAAAGATGCTGATTAAGATTGGATGTGCTGAGTGATGGTGATATTTCGACATTTGACGAGTTGAAGTATAAATAGGTTTTGTTTGATACCTTGGAATGCATTTGGGACTTTAGTATCGTTTGTGTATTCTTACATTCCCTGATTCCTTCATTAGCAGCTCTGGCATCTCATTTCCACCGGCTTAGGTCATCAATTTTCTGCCTCTGCAGTCCAAGTCTTGCAGTTTTGCAGTTCCATGTCTATGATTGTTTGTGTTGATCTCTAAAAAGGCCTTCTAAGTATATAATAATTTGCCTGAATGTAGCTTGCATTGCACTTAACATCTCAGGTCTTACAAGGCAACAAGCTACCTTTGTCACATCATGCCCAACTAGAGAAGCAATGTACCAAAAGAGGAGTGCAAAATGAGAAAATATTCACCCATTCAAGAAAAGAACACAATACATTTTAACGCGATCGATGGAGGCAAGATATTCTTTTAGTTTCCTTCAAACTGCCACCAAAGGAAAGTACATATCTGCAGCTTCTTGAGAACTTCCATTCAGCTCCAAGCTCAGCCTCTCTTGTCTGGTTGCAGGGTATGTTGTAGTACTAATTCATTCCTTTTTCTTCTTTTTTTTCTTTCTTTCGATTTGTAATTTTTGGTTGAACTTAACCCTTAGGCCCCGTTTGTTTTGGGTTATAGGGAGAGGATTGGGATTCATAGTGAGGTAGAACCCAAGAATATCATGTTTGTTTTGAGAGATGGAGAGGGGATTCGTAATCCCCTTCGGACTACGAATCCCCTTGGAAAGGGGATTAGGATAGGCCGGTAGGACTTGGTATTAGAAAAATAGTCTGGCAGACTAGAAATTTTTTATTTTATTTTTTACATGTCGGGTATTTTTTTTTTAACATTAATGTTTAATTTTTTGTATTTTTTGTTAAGTAAAAATCGTTATTTTATTTATTTTATTTTTATTTTTTTAAATTTTTTTGCATGTTGGACATTTTTTTTAAAACATTAATGTTTAATGTTTTTGTATTTTTTTTATTTGTTTTATTATTTTATATAAAAATAATTTAACAATTCCTACACTAACAACTATCATCAAAACAAATACAATTTTACTTAATCCCCTCACTATCAATCCCTTCAATTCTACCTCTGAAAACAAACAGCACCTTATAAATTTATGCATATGCTGCTTTCTTGCAATTGAGTCTACATAGAAAATCTGTGCTTTGTAAACAAATCATGTCATAATCCGTACTTTGAGAGTTAGCAACATTAATCTTTTTGTTTCTAATTGACAGGGTGAAAATGCAAGGACTTGCCCGGGTAGTAAGGGCTTGCAAGGAAACACTTAAGCTTGCAACTCTGCAGCACTCACTTGTCAGGGATACGGCTGAGATAAAGAAAGTATTCTCCCGTTATGGATGCATCAGCTCCTCTCATGCTATGCGGGAAAAGGGTTTAGAGGACACGACGGTGGCAGAAGTGTTGATGACGAAGGGGGAAGAAAAAGTCGGGTCTTGGCTATGGTGCTGCAGTGATGACACTATCCATGATGCTGTCAAGCAAGTATGTTCCTACAGCACTTAAAAAGTAAAAAAGAATAATAATAATGAAGACAAAAAATTAGTAATTTCCTCTGAACTCAAATTTAATGGCTTACAATGATGATGACGACACAATTGTAGATGCACAATACAATGTTGGATCTTTGGTGGTTTGAAACCTGGAGACCAACAACTGATTGTAGGAATCATCACAGAAAGAGGTAATTGTTCAACCCAACGCCCCCCCCCCAAAAATAAAAAATAAATAATAAGTGTTGAATTATGAATGAAGGTATGTGCTAATTATTGATGTGAAATTGAATGACAACAAAGCAGACTATCTGAGGAAGGTGATTGCAGAGGATAGGCCTTCTAAATACACACAGAGTTGGGGAAATCATGACTGATCAGGTTATTCCTGCTGCTCAAGATATCCATTTTCTTATCTTATATATATGTGTGTGTGTGCGCGTGTGTGAAGATCTGATCAGTTACATATTCTTAATCGAACAGCACAAGTTGATAACAGTGACATCCGATACAAACATTCTTCATGCAATGCAGCTCATGACAGGTAAAATTTATTCTGTTGAATTGTGATGTGAAAAGAAAAAGCGTATACTATTTGAGTCTTCTTTTTTTTTTTTTGGGTGAGGGAAATGATAATAATTTTTGTTGTTTGCAGAGAATCACATACGGCATGTTCCAGTGATAGATGGAAAGATTGTTGGAATGATTTCGATTGTAGATGTTGTCCGAGCGGTGGTGGAGCAGCAAAGCGGGGAAGTGAAGAAACTGAATGAGTTCATCAAAGGAGAATACTACTACTAAAATCTTCACAGAAACTCTAGTTGACAACATCCTTGTTTTCACATTTTCTTTTCCCCCCAAGCCTCTTTGGCTTGAATTTATAGGACCAAGTCACAAACATGTTATGCAAATTGAGAAAACATGGATTCCAATTAATAAAAGTCAGATAAATGTATTCTTGCTTATTTCCATAATCCTCAATACAAGTGAAAGAGATTGGGAATTACTTAATATGGGACTATAGACTTGCATTTTGTTGGGTTTTTTTCAAAATAAAGTCAAGTTCAAATTATGAACAGAAAATTCTCCTTCTAATCCTATTGTGCATAATAAAAGATGCCGTAGTGCCACAATACTGTACATAGAAAGCCCAAAACTAAATATATAATTTTTAATTTTTTTGTACAATCGGTTAGAGGGAAATAGAGAAAGGGAAGCTACACTTGAAAGACCAAAACTAATACATAGGACAAAAACTTGCTACTATTTACAATTGCAGAAAGACTGTACATTCCTATCGGATTCAAATCCAGCTAGATTCAATCAAGTTGGGGAACTAATATCTAACACTATCATTAAGAACAAATTCATGCAATGGTGCAATGTCAAAACTCACTACTCATCACAAGAAGGATCAATTAAGCACGTTTCTTGCTGCGTTGGCGGTTTTACTCCATGAAATGAGCCATTTAAGCACTAATGTCTGGTTTTTGACAATACTGATATTCCCCTTCCCAGTAATCCAGATGCCTTGGCAGCCTTCTTTCGTTTAAGACGATCGACAGAGTCTTGAGAAATGCCAAGCTTGAAACCATTGTCTGGAATTGAAACCTGTGAAGGGTGACCATCTGTGAAATCCCTCAAGAGCTGCAGCAAATCTTTCGCCATCAGCTTCCCTTTCGCACTTCCGCTGACAGATATAATCTCTATAGACTGAAAAGTTCTCTCTTTTATGATCAATTGACAATACTTGGCACATTGATCGCATAAAGAGAGCATAACATCAACAGCAAGTTCTTTTTCCTCATCAGTGCCACTTTCTAAAAGTTCTTCCATGAAAGCAATGCATACATTACTTTTAGCAACTGCGTCCCTACCCTCCTCAATATTGCACAAGTTTCTCAGAATTTTGATGCAGTATCCAGTAAGATCGCGATCACCCAAAAATGGAGCCATCTTGGAAATGTAATCTAAATATACCATATGGTGCCCAACATCACTGTTTTCAGACAAGTTGTACAGTATTTTCATAGCAAACAGGTGATATTTGCTGATGTGCATCTCCAGGATTATTAGGATGGAAGGAAGAACACCAAATTTCAAAATTGTTGACTTGCAATGCTGTTGGATAGACACCACTTCCATAATTGCAAGAGCTTCGTCAGTGATTTCAGAATCCAAAAGTGAGGACAGCTCATAAATTGCATCTTCTTGTAAGGGTGGCATTTCACTTCTGTTTAAAACCGCATAAATTCAATTAGCATGTGAAAAAAATCTGTGGAAGCAGTGCAAAAATAACTATAAATTCTGCACAAAAAGCATCAACATGCCTTCATTATGCCAACCCAAACTGAAGTATTACCTGATTTCACGCAAAAAAGTCAAAAGCAACTGTGCACCATCTCTCCGTGCCTTTGAATCATTCTGTTCACGAGCATCCTTTAAAAATCTAATAAGAGGTTTGATGTAACTACTAAAAATCATAGAATGAGATCCTTGGTTGTTGTCTTTCAATTGGTTCTTTACATCTTCTACTGCCTTGCACTGTGATGACCATGGAAGTGCTGCAAGTTCGGAGAGAAGGGCTAAATTTACACCATGGGCATTTATGTCAGACTGAAATTTGCAAGGATCTGAATTTCTCTGGAGGAGATCAATGCCTAGGCCACCATCATCTTCAGTACAGGCATCCAATGAATCAAATGTATCTGTAGAGCAAAGTGATACGTTGCTGATTTGAAGGCACAAACCGTTTACAGAACTACCAAAGCTGGCAATGGAACTGGAAGACGGTATCTTGTGCAAGCAACGGCCTCCAGAAGTGGGTTGTGAACAAGGTTCCGGAATAGTGATACCTTGATTTGTGCACCACCTTGAAATAGTGTCCTTTATTGCAGAATTTGGAGTCACTGACAAATCTTGAAGCTTAACACAAGTTTTTGGACATGTCTCATGACCCTCATTGAACCACTTCTCTATCCACACCCTTTCAAATGTTTGCCCGTTAGCTATTATAACAGGATCATACATCAGTCTTGCAGAGAGAGGGCATTTGAATTCTTCAGGAGGTTCGGGTGTATCAAACACATCAACTTGAGAACGCCCTCCTGAATTTTCCACATTTGGTACTGGCTCAATGGACTGACTAAGGGAGTCGTCATGCTGAGATACAATGCTCGCCGTTTGGTATCCCCGAATTGATTTTCCATACTTGCTCAGAAGATACAAGAGGTATTTCAGTATTTTCTCCCTGTTTGGATCGGCATCATGGTTCTTAGATAACAGCTTTCTAAGAGACCTTTTCTCTATTAAGATAGCCATTTGGGAGGTAATATGTAACCTTAAAGCTGCCAGTTTAAGAGCTTTGAGTTCTGATATATTAGCGGAATCTGATGCAGCTCTATCCTGATGGATCAATGTGAGTAAAATGATTCCAGCCTCGTCTTCAGAGGATTCCAATGTAAAAGTTGCAGCCTTAAGATCGTCAACAATTCTTGATATCTGCAGAAAGCATATATTTCATAAAGAAGCTTGGAAGGATAATTAGAATAGAAGAGAACAGAACTGAGGGACAGTCCCTATGAAAAGAAGAATGTAAATATGGCCAGCCCAAAAAAAAAGTAAAATTTTGAAGGGCTTTTTGCACTATTCAAATGTTGGGTCGGTAGACCCTGATAAGTACTGTTCACTCAAACACGGGATCCAATGGGGGGTTTGCGGTACTTGTGTAATTCTCATGTTGCTTCCGTGTAACCCTAATTCTATACTTACAAATAGATAAGGGGGTGCCTATTTTAGGTTAAGAGAATTTTATTTTTCTGATCATAGTGAAAACCGCAGCAGCTGTGGACGTAACCCTATTTTGGGGTGAACCACGTAAATCCTTGTGTTCTTGTGTGTGTGATTTGTTTGATTCGTTTTTTCTTCCTTATTTGTTATTTCGTGTCTCACCAAGCTTAGTTAGGAAGGGTCAATTCCTAACATCAAAAAGGAATATTTCTTTCTTTTTACAGCATTTAGATGTCTGCTAGTTGCTTGGGGTAAAAATTTGGGACAGATATTCCTTCTGCAGAGAATAAGTGGTGCAAATGGCAAGACAAACACCAAGAAAACAAGCAATATAATGAAAATATTATGTAAAAGAGTCCTGTTGTAACCATCATCTGAAAATAATAATAATAATAATAATAATAATAATAATAATAATAATAATAATAAAAAACTTGGGCAGTTATATAAGGGTCATTTGGACATGAAAAATTGTGACATAGCTTCGCCAAGTAAGTTGTGTGCAAATAGAATAGATAACAAGATGCTGTCGCCATGAGTGGGTATCATTTGGAAAATCTGATGCTTAAAATTGATCCAAGGAAGTTCAAATATTGGGCAGTGAATTGTATCAAAAACTTGTTTAAATGAATTGTATCGCTGAATTAGGTAGGATACTGCAAGATATCTTATAAGTAGACTGATAGCAAGTCCCACCTTTCTAAAGGACATCTACACACACGCCCTTCAATATCATATGCAGTATGGAAACATTAAGTTCCACTAAATGGGATCTATTGAATTTCAAAAAATTCGTACAAATATATGAAGAATGCAAACTCCATATGGAGGCAAACTCTTAACATATTATGGAAAGAAGGACAAACTCTATCAAATTAAGATTGTGGTTACACCGTCTGATATCTGTTAAGGAAGCTAAATGTTAAACTTTGCAAAATGGTTCACAAACGGAGGAACAAAAGAAATTATCACTCCTCCTAGAAGGATTAAAAAAAAAGCTACATTTGCATGCCTTGGAGAAATGTGATACAGACATTGCTCACTATAAGAAACAGCTGGACTTGCACATAGTGCTCAGACATTAGCTTATGACAGAACATCTGGAACACCAAATTGCACTGAAGGGTACATAAACAAGAAAAGGCTATAGCGTTAGAGTAGGACAAACCTGAGCAGCCATAACTGGATGAACCATATTTTGAATTTGGCTTAAACATGACTCCAATGTGTTTCGTATTTTTTCACATCTCAACAAAATCTTATACCCTGTGATTGCCTGGAAAAATTAGTTAAACTAACCGTTAGACAAAGAATGATATGATTTACACCTACACTCTCCCAAAAAAAAGAGGATAAAAAGCATGATTACATTGAAGAAGGCAAACAAATAATGTATATAATGGGTTTTTTAGATAATAAATCACATCACAAAATAAACAACTACATTACAGAATCCCCAAGCATCTTCAAGTGGATGTAAAGTTTGATTCTCTTCTGGAGACTACTTTACATTGTAGAATCCCCAAGCATCCTCAAGTGGACGTAAAGCTAGAACTGCTTTACATTATGTAAAGTTCGATTCTGCTGTGACCCATTTTGTTTGGCTTTTGGAAGTATTTGAGGTTGAAGATTGAATGAAAATTTTCTTTCAGTTGATGAGGTGGTTAATGGAAACTCAATCCCACACATTAGATTGACAATATATGTATAAGCATGTTCAATCCCACACGATAGATTGACAATATTGGTATAAGCATGTTCAACAAAAATTAAAACAAAAAATCACAACAGTTTAATCAATTATGTAAATGGTAGTGAAAAATACCAAGTAGAGTTTACTAGACTCAGAACAGTGCAGAATAAGTGAATTGGCTCTCTCCATGGCAAGGTGTAAAGAGCACAGAACCTTCATTCCTGATTGGCATCCTGGTCGAGAAGATTCAATGGATGAAAATATCTGCGAGATTTTGTCGATGCATTTCTTAAGCTCTAGGCACATTAAACGATGCACCTGTGGCCATCAAACATAGTCATAAAAATGTATTGAAAGCAACAGCAACTTTGGATGAAGTGATTGGGTGCACCCTTAGCAGTTAATAAAGAATCACCAGCATATTAAAGAAATTTGGGAGGATATGCTTAGTTTATTTCATTCATAAATCTTGAAATACTTAATTTGGTGCAACTAAATTGCGTTAAATCTTGTTCTCAACGGACAAAATAATACTAGAGATGCTAAAATGATAATTACATATCCTAAAACTCAAAGACAAAAACTACTATTTACCTTAACGGTACAATATGGAAGTTCCATAAGGTCAGCACCTCATTCACATTTTTTAATATCTGTGGCCTGCACATTGAAAGTGATAATCATAATGTCTTCAATTAGTGTTCCTGAAAGAATAAAGTAATTAATGACTGAGCAATCAAAGTTAATAAAAGTCACATGAACCCAAACAAATAAATAAATAAATCAAATTCAATTTCTAGGTATGACTAGAAAGCTGTATGTGAAATTCAGGAATACATGTTAATTGCAGACATCCAAAAAAGGAGAAAGTCAATTGCTGTTGTGACTCTAAAAGAGTAAGCTATGAAGATATTAAAATAGTTCAAATAATGTGACTTTAAAAGAATATACTTTTCTGAGCCACCAAACATGAACTGAGAAAATAAACTATCAAAACTAGTGTTTCTCATGTAAACGTATAAAAACTGCAAATTGCGAAATTCATCCCGAAACTGAAAGCCATCTAGCAAATAAACACAAAAACATTTATGCACTTGTTTTCAACCTAAAGGGTCCGGAAAATAGTATGAGGTTCGATTATTAGGACCTTCTCAAGTGTCTAGTAAAGAAAATCAGCTCAACCAAAAGTCAATTTAACTATTGCTCTTTGATACAAAATCATTTTTCTTGTGTTTCTTTGTCAATTTATGAACTTCTAAATAGATTCACATAAAACTTCTCTTTTTAATTTCCTTCTCTTCTTGAAACACACTGTCCCAATCTCTTACATTTGAAACCAACATAATCCCTCAGAACAGCAAGCTCACAAATTGTGGAAGCAGATTCAAAATGATAGCAACTTTGTACAAATTGTGCCAGAGGTTCAATCTGTATCCAATCTACCCCTCCTAGAACCCATCAAATGGGAAATAAAACTGGGCATAGTGGGTTTTGTTTTTTTTTCCCTCGAAAACTCAATGTCATGCATCTGACTGATTATTAATCTCAATCAAAATTAGCCTAATTGAACATGGGGCCAAAAAAAAAAAAAAAAAAAAAAAAAAAAAAGGCACAATCATATCCAGTTTGTGTTTGTAATTAGAAAGTTGCCCTTCAATCACAATAAATCTTCATAAAAAAATCCCCAACAAAACTTATGTTCGGTTCTTGAATTTGTGAAGAGATTTGCAGAGGGAAAAGACAAGGAAAAAGATTTGTGAAAATACTTCAGTAACTATTTCATAAATATTTTTCAACCCTTCTATTTTTTTCCTCACAAATCCATCCAAGTACCAAACACATAATTGAACATCTGCACAAAGAAATTTGGGCAAATCAGTTAAGAACATCAAGTAAGAAACCCAACTTACCAAGTCTCCCCAAACAGAGGGAAAAAGACCAAGAGGCTTTATGAGCCTTCACCAGTGTAACATCTGTATTGCTGAATCAGCATACAATTCATAGTGGTTGTGATAATGGGCTGATTCGGAAGTCGAGCCAAGAGAGCAGCAAGAAGAAACTTCAAAAGAATTGTCAAAGCTCATAGACCTTGAAGTCGCAATCAAAAAATAAAAAATTAAAAAAAACACAAAGAAGTAAAGAGGAAAGTAACAAGTCACTTCAGCTGTTGTATTAATTACTCCAAAACTTTTTTGTTTTATTGGCTGTCTATCAATTTGTGTGGTGCTCAAATTATAATATATAAAAGATTTGATAGTAAAAATTAATATATTTATTTTTAATTTTTTAATATATTCAGTGTTGAATTTAATTTTAACTCTAAGTTTTCCTTCCAAAATATGAAAAATTGGTTTTAAAATATATTATATTGAATATTCCTTTCGTATTTCTATTTAGGTTACTTTCTGTTTATTTTAAATTTTTTTCATTTACTTTGAAAAACTCATTTTAAGTGATATTTATTTTCATTACATGTACTCTCATATTGAGATTAAGCCTCATTTGACATAATATATTTTTATCTTCCTATTTCTTATTACCTTTCCCTTTCTGCCTACAATTTCCCTCTAATGTCTGATCATGGCTCACACGGGTTCTTCAGCTAATATCACTCAGTAATGAAATAAAAAAAAAAAAAGAAGACACTATGAAGGTTCAAAGCATGTAATATTAATGAGCAAACAATCATTTCATAAACTTAGTTTTCAAAAAGAAAATAAATTTTAGAACAAATGAGTTATCCTTTCCAAATACCTAAGGAAAAAGAGAAAATTACTCACACTTCATGTTAATATGGCAAAATACTTACAAGGATTATGTTACAGACTCTGGGACACTCTCTTGGTTCTTTGTTTGCAAAATATTACAAAAGAAAAAAAAATGAAAAACGTGTAAGAATTCTCACAGCTTTGCTTTAATGGAGCAGAGTAAGGGTCGTCTGCTCTATTAAATTAGTAAGTGAAGGAGAAGCCTTGCTACTGACAGACACAAATAATAACAATAGTTTTTGTCTTTTTTTGACCTGAATTCTGACCTAGATTTTCAGGCGTGAAGGAGAAGCCTTATTAACTCTGACAAACTCAAATAATTAGATTGACTATTGTCGTTTTCGAGCTAAGTACTTCTTGGTGAAGCTCTCTGTAGATGCTTACTGATGTAAATACTTGATGGTAATCTTTGATGCTTGATGGTGAACTTGGATGCTCTAGACGCTTTTTTTTTTTTTGACCTTCACCGATGCTTACTGATGTAAATACTTGATGGTAATCTTTGATGCTTGATGGTGAACTTAAATGCTCTAGACACTTTTTTTTTGACCTTCACCCAAACATTCTATCCAAAAGGTTGCTAAAAGTTGATCATAAAAATCTGCCTCGTTATTTGGTATTGATCATCATCTTGAAGTATTGGTGACTTATGGGAAATACTATGCTGATAGTTACGATATTGACTTTCATCGACAAATGCCTCTTTGTTGAAGGAAAAACCTGAAATACCCAAGTTACAATAGATCTTCTGGTTTTTATTTTCATAGATGAGATGTTCATAATTTCCATTATAAGCTAACAGAGGGTTATTAGCTAAATTTCCTCCATTTGTTAAGCTGATCTTTGAATAAAAATTTCTTACATGGCCAAGATCTTTGGTTGAGAAGTCCTGGGTATCCTGGAAAAGTTAAGGTTCCTTTAAGGTACATTTTATGCTTGATAGGAGTACACCTTATTTTTTTCCATTCCGGTAGCTTGCTATCAATCAATACTTCAACAAATGAATGATATTCTTCCATTATGCAAAGCACTGAATGAGAAAGTTTATTTCCAAAACTATCAATCTGGTTTGGTTCTGAAAAGATCATTCTGGAAACAAAACTATAATCCAACAATTGTGCGGCTGTTAGACTACGAGTTTTACCTTTTATCTCTATCACTAATGGCTCAAAAGTAGATAAATTTATTTGACAAAGAAAGATGCTGAAGTCGAGATTACACTGGCATCTTTCAAAACATTTTAGCCTTTCTCTATATCGTTTTTCCTGTGTGCATGGTTGTTTCTTATCATTGTAGAGGCAAGTCCATTGATAAGCCATACCAGGGCACTGAACTCCTGTTATAGAAAGGTCTTGAAGAAACTATTGTATAGTAATTAGCTCATTATTTCCACTATCTTTGGCTAGGGTATATATGTAAGGCTTAATGTTCTCGAATTCATGGTTTTCCTCACAAAAATATTTAACGATACAATGCTTGAAGAAATACATTCTAGCACTCAATTGATCAAATTCTTCACTGGTGAGTTGCTTGATTTCTTGGATTTGAACGAGAGTGGGTGATTTATCTGGAGTTAATATTTTAAACTGGCTGGTTAGGGTTCGAATGGTTGCTCTCAATTATTTTTCTTCATCTTGGAGCTGGTCTAGGTTTTCACTGACTCTTTTGCCCTTATCTATGATTTTCTTGAAATTTCTAGTAAGGCCTTCGTAATGTCTGCATAATTGAAGAGAACTTTGTGATCCTGTATTAAGTTGCGGGTTAGTACTACAACTTCCTGTTATATGACTGACTGGAACTCCACTTGTAGCAAGAATAGATAACTGTATCTTGTCCAATGTGTTCAGATAATTTTTGGCTGCCTGGCTAATTATATAGCTGGTTCCTATTTATTTGAGGGCATATGTACTAATTGACTCAAAATCATAAAATCCTTTGAACTGGGGTGAAAGAAAATTTTTGACCAAAGGTTTAACTTCTATCTGGTCATGGTAAATGCCACGTTTAGCTCCTTTAGCTACTATATAAAAGAAGAAACTTTTATATAAGGGTTTATTCTGGATTTTTGAAAAGTATATACTGAGGAAATTTAGGACTGACAGACGTTTAGCTAGGTGATTAAGGTTATTCCAAAAGTTATCTAAAAGACACTGTTGAATCAGATCTAGCTGGATTCCTGTTAAAGGTTTGAACTTGACTCTGCCCACATAGATGAGAAGAGCAAATCCTCCAAAATTTATTGTCTTGTTGTTCTCCATTATCTGCACAAAAATTAAACTGGTTATCTTCTTTGTCTAAATATATTTTCCTACTTAGCCAATCTGTTAACTTATTATCACTCTCCTTAATATGTTCAAATTCTACTTTATATCCTTGTCCTACTATACAATCTAAGAATTTTACCCATTTTCTACTACTAAGTTTACGCTCATTAAGTTTATTGTGAAATTTGACTATAGCCTCGCAATTAGTTCTAATTGTAAAGGCTTGTGTAAAAATAATCTAAATTTATTTGTTGTATATACTACCCCCAATATTTCAAAGTCTAAACTAGTCATAGTTGTATCTTTTTCCTTAAATTTTTCGAAACTATATCTACAAATATGCTATTTATTCTTACTATCATATTTACTAGGTTTAGCTAATAGTATTGTTCCCCATCCTAACTGGCTTGCATCTGTTTCTATAATTATATACTCTGATTCTAATGGGAGTTGTAAGTCGAGTAGCTTCCTACAAATAACTTTAATTTTTCGTACCAAAGCTATATCTTGTTGGTTAAAATATTTTTGTCCTGTGGGTGTGGTCTTGCTATATAACGATTATATTATATTACTTAGGTTAGATATGTACATTCTTGCATAATTTAAAATTCCCAAAATGATTGAAGTTGTTTTGTATCTTCTAATTTATCTGGATAATCACTATCTGTGGTTGTAGTCTTATTTTTCCATCTCCTAACTCTATTCTTAAAAACTAAATATGAGGTTTATTTAAGACCATTTTTCTTTTACTAATTATGATTTCATTGTTTATAAACTCTTCTAACACTGTGTATAAATGATCTATATGACTATTTTTATCTAGGCTAAATACTAATATATCATCTACGTATACTAACACAAACTTATATTTATTAAATATACTATCCATCTTACGTTGAAATATGGAAAGTGTATTTTTAAATTCAAAAGACATGACTAGCCATGCATAATGTCCTTCTGGGCAACAAAAGGCTGTCCAATGTATGCTTTCCTTATCCATTTTTATTTGCCAACATCCTAACTTGCAACCAAATTTACTAAGGGGTTGTTTGGAATTAGAGATGGCAATTGAAACCCAGCTCGACAGGGACCCGATCCCCCGACCCCGATTAAAGCGGGGTTTTCTCGAAAATAACTCCCCATAGGGCCGCCGGGGATGGTATTAAAAATCAAATCCCTGACAACTTTTGAGCCGGGGATGGGGATAGGTTCCCGAGACCCGGCCCCGGCCTGGCCCAGCCCCGTTAATCCCCGAATTCCCTATGTGTATATATATATATATAGGGTATTAGGGTTATTAGTCTCATTTTTTCTCTCATTTTTTTTCTTCTCTCACAGAACCGAAGCTGATCTTTCTCCCTCTCTCTCTCCGTGGTTCTATCAAAGCCGATCTCCCTCTCTCTCTCTCTACTGGTGGCCTCTCATCTCAAACCCTCCCTTCTCAAATCCATTGATCTCAGCGACTCCGACGGCCTACTCGCCGTCGCCGACGACACAGAACAAACGACCTCTCATTTTCTACGACGTCGATTGGGTTCACTCCGGTGCCAAGATCCGACCTACTCGTCGTCGCCGACGACACAAAATAATAAGAGACCTCTCTTGTCATGCCCCAAACTTGCCCCTAAAAGTTCGGGCATGAGCCATTCAGAAACAGACATATAACCTGGTATATATAGCATATGGGGCCTTATTGGAAGCACAAAATAGCCAAGATCCGACCTACTCGTCGTCGCCGACGACACAAAATAATAAGAGACCTCTCTTGTCATGCCCCAAACTTGCCCCTAAAAGTTCGGGCATGACCCATTCAGAAACAGACATATAACCTGGTATATATAGCATATGGGGCCTTATCGGAAGCACAAACTATTAAAAGAATACTAAACCAAACAAACTCCATTGAGCTATTTCTAATATGCCAGGATCTCATACATCACATGCACCATAATAGGCCGATAGAGTCCAAAAATATTTCTTAGCAGTACTTATACACAAACACATATACAGACCCAGCCCTATAATCGGGCATGTATAAAACTATTGAAGTTATGTACATTTAACCCTGGAAG